TTGCTGATTTGTCATCTTTTAAAGTACATTAACGGAGTTGTTTTCTTTTAAAATATATTAACTGAGTTGCCTTAACATATGTAGTGATCATGTTTAGCCTAATATCGCATGCCACGTGCCTTAATTCTTACTTGCAATTTGTGCAACATGCTTAGTTGAATTACCTGCATTACTTGATTTGAATTAAATCTTTAACTGTAAGATTCTTGCTGAAAGTTTATGTTTCCTTTCGATTACCTGCTGTATATTTACTTTGGGACTACGAGGTGGTTCCTCGGGAGATTCTCCCGTATTGCATATTTACTTTGGGATTATGAGGCGTTTACTCGGGAGATCCCCATGTACTGCATATTTACTTTGGGACTACGAGGTGGTTCCTCGGGAGATCTCCCTGTAATGCATATTTACTTTGGGACTACGGTGCGTTTACTCGGGAGATCCCCCTGCACTGCATCTTTATATTTTGGACTACGAGGCGGTACCTCGGGAGTGCCCCTGCTGTGTACCTCTATTTATTGTGCTGGTATTTTCTAAAACTTCTTATTGTTTAAATTCTCATTCATTTCAAAATATTATTATTACTTCTGCCTTACTTTTCTTTTAAACCAGTAGAGCCCTGACCTGACCTCGTCACTACTCTACCGAGGTTACGTTTGGCACTTACTGGGTACCGTTGTGGCGTACTCATACTACACTTTGCATATCTTTTTGTGCAGATCTAGGTTCTTCCCACCAGCTCAGATACCAGTGAGTTGGACTGCTCGTGGAGACTTCAAGGTATATCTGCCAGCGCTCACAGACCTCGGAGTCCCCCTATATTCTTACTATGTTATTTTTCTTATTTTTTTAGACTATGATATATAGAGGCACTTATTATTTGCTCTTAGAAGCTTGTGACTTATTTTCACCGGATTTTCGGAGTTGTAATTATTGAATGACAGTTTTATAGAATTATATTACATGTTTAGATTTGAGCTGCAGTTTTATTATTTAGTTATTCCGTAAATTGCTAGGCTTACCTAATCTTAGAGACTAGTTGCCATCACGATATCCTACGGAGGGAAAAATGGGGTCGTGACAAGCTGGTTGAACAGTACGTCCATGGTAGGGCAGTAGTTTGTAAATAATTGTTGATCATCAATTAGGGGCGGCTCAACAGAATTGGTGGCCTAAAACCAAAATCTATACTATATTAAAAGTACGAAGGTCCTTAGCGAAATGTCATGCACCCTTTTTATCCATTAAAAATTATTTTTATATTGGATAAAATTATAATTTAAATTACTTTCCTAATATTTAGGACCTTAAAATCAAAGTCAAATTTTGTTTACTAAATCAAACCTTATTTGAATTAGGTAAGAAGTCCTTAATATTTCCTAAATTTTATGACCTTTTCAATTAATAAAAGAATAATGTCATTATATCAATTTATGGTAACTTTCCATATGCACATAGTATACGTTAGGTTTTTTTTTTGCTTAATTAATAATTTAAATTATATTAAAATAAATTTATTAGTGGTAAATATTTATACACTTATGAGAAGTAGATATATCAACATAAATATACATTCCATGTTAGATATAATGATAACTATCATTAATATTTTATGTTAGATATTACAATTGATTTCTAAATTTTCAATGAACTAATATCTTAATTATATATAAATTAATATCTTAATTAAAAAAATAGAGAAATTTTCCTTAATATTAGTTATAAGTTTATAACCGGTCATAAAATTAACATCAATTAATTTTATATAATTTTATTATTTTAGCAAAATAAAAATAGAGAAAGACTTTAAAAAAAATATGTTTTGATCCTCTGCATATATATAATATTAAGTCCATTAACAAAAATTTCGAAATCCGTGTTAAAAAATCGACTCGGACCCACATCTCAGAATCAGGCAAAAATCACAAAAGTCAAACACTACAACAACAATAACAACAACAACAACAACAAACCCAGTAGTTTCCCACAAGTGGGTCATTTAGTCAAACACTCTTTCTATTAAAATTATATATCAAAATTTAAATACATAGTCTAACTAACACTATGATTATGTATAAATTATTTTATTGTCCATAATTATTATACTGTTTTACTCAATATCAAATTCTAGAAATACATTTAAAATGATAATTAGCAATTGCATGACAAGTGTACGCAGTTTAATACATATTTATATATTTTTTTTAAAGTTTTATGCGTATTGATTGGGTATACACGCATAACACGTATTCTATCTATATCTATACTATATTAAAAGCACGAAAATCCTTAGCAAAATATCCTTCGTCATTTTTACCCCTTTTAAAAAAGAGTTAACACTGGACAAAATAATCATTTGATTATTTTTCTAATATATAGGAATAGTCATTTAATTTTTTTCCTAATATTTAGGAACTTAATTATTTTTCTAATATCTAAAACTATGCAATCTATTAAAATATAATTATTAAATATTTTCTTTTTAAAACTATGTACGAAGTCTGCAAAATGCCGTTCACCTCTATTATTTAAATTTGAATAAGGTAACTATCTATTATTTGGATGCTATAAGTTAGATACTCTTTAGGCAAATGAAATTAAATAATATATATTTTAATGATTTTAGAGAGAGATATTACTCTATCAAGCATAAAATTAACTCTGAAAAGAATTACTCTAGCAAATATGAAACCAATTATGACAACTTTATTATCATTGGTGTAATACTATATGTTATAGTCTTTGGTCATAAATTTTATTATAGACGTATTAAATCATATTTTGTAGCTTTTTTATAGTGCGGGCAATTATTTTATAGACGTATTCCATATTTTAATTGTCAGTTTTTGCGAGTAACTAATTACATAATTTTACTTGAAAAAGGTTATATATGTCAATGTGCATGTTTAAAGAGTATCTTTAATTCCAAGCCACTAAATTTTATTAAGATTAGAAAACTTAAGGAACCTAGCAGGTGAAGGGAAAAAAAGGAAACAATATTCATTAAACATGCCTTGAAATATAAACTTTTGTTTTTTGATGGTCAAAACTTTGAGTAATACGACGGATAATTAAAGAATATTAAATGTCATTTTGTTAGACTGACTCGACTTATAAGAAGAGTAATCACTAAGATTGAGAAAAGAAAAAATACCCAAGCATCCTCAAGTAAATATAAAATTAAATAAATAAAATTTCATAGCTAACCGTAGGGACGAATCAATGAAATTAATGGTCTAAAGTCAAACTATAATAAGAGGCCTTAGAATTATTTCATAAAATTCATGTATTAATATGACAAGTTAAAAAAATTTACTTTCCTATTTATAGATCAATCAAAAGAGACAAGAAAAATAGGGTTTTTAGGGGGGAAAATAGTTTGGCATTGAAAAGTTAAATTATTAAAAGCATAAAAATGAAATAAATATAGTAGAGGAGGGAACATCAAACCCGAAGAGGGAGATAAAAGTACTAATTAATAAGAGAGAAGAAAATTTTATCATAATTTATTTACTCATTCAAAAAACCTCAACCAAATCCAAAAAAACCCTTAAATTTAGAACATTTTAGTAAGGATAAACATACATACTATACGGTAGTGGTGGCAAAATGGATAAAAAATCAGTTATCCATCTATATTATTTAAACTTTTTTAAAATGGGTCAAATATGAATAAGAACAATATTATCCACTTAGAAAATGGATAACCAATGGATAAATAATGTGTTTAACTTTTATATTTGTAAAGACTCAAATTGGGGCTCCTCAAGTTTGGGAGACTAGGTATTCTCCCAAAAATGATCATATTCAAGAAGCCATGGATAACATGGATATCCATAGTATCCGCCAGTTAACCCATTTTCTATCCGTATTAAATATGGATGAGGTCGGATAATTTATTAATTTTTGCATTATTGCATTATTTGTTTTCAACCCGTCCATATCTCACCCGCCCCGCCCATTTATCACCCATATATGGTATATATAATAGTTAATACTTGGAGTAGTATTTCTTACACCAATATTATCGTCCATAAAAGAGATTAGGTCAGATACAAAAACACAAAATATCATGCTTATCTTCATAAAAATATATATAAATAACTTACCTAAATTCTTAATCGTTGCAAGTTTAAACGATAACGAATAACTATGCATTCAACTATTCATCAATGTAATATTTATTTTTTAATTTAAATAAATATTATATTTTTTCGATGTCAATTGTTAATACACATAATTCATTCTTATTTTATAGTATTTTATACACTTTTTATAATAGACGCAAAAATACGTACAATGCATGTACACTAAAGCTAGCATATAAAAAAGACCCTGAAACTTCTTTTATAAAATTCATATAATATTGAGACACAAAAAAACCGACATGACTTTGATCTAATGCTAAGAGCGCAACTCATGATATATGGGTTAGGCGCACATCACATGATATTGAATTCTTCCCTTAAATGAAAATAGTAAAGGGGTAAGCCCATTATCCATTGTGTTTTGAACCTTACGACATTTGTCTCGGGGATTACTTAGTTAAAAAAGATAAGACACAAAAAATCTTACTTTCTGGCGTGTGGATCAATCAAATGTGACAAAAAGAAACAGTTAATTTAGAGAATTTGAGTAGAAATTAGAAAGTAAAATCGTGAGAAACATAAAAAAGACTACACATAAAGAAAGAAAAATAGAATTGACGAGAAGGTAAATATATTATTTAATTTAGTTTGAGAAAAAATTATCCTATTAACTTACTCAATCCTACGGCTGCCAAATTTTAACAATTATTTAATTTGAAATATTTTATTAATAATTATATAAATATAAAATATGGAATATATATATATTATATAATATAGTATTACTTAATATTTTTTGGGCCTTAAATATTTGGGGGCGTAAGGCAAAGTTCTTTACTTGCCTTGCCCTAGAGCCGCCCTTGCAGCAGACAACACCACCATAGCAACCAAAATTGAAGCAAAATCTCAAACCCAATGAAGACAATATCAGGCAAATTAACATCCACAACCCCAATCTCTCTTTCTCAAGCAGCAAAATCGCTCTCCAAATTTGCTGCATCAGAAAACGGAGCTTCACATTCTGTCTCCGTATATATCAAACGTGCTGCCGATTCGTTCGATCAACTTGTTCAACTTCATGAGAAACTCAGACCAAATAGTGCAAAAAATGAGCTTTCTATCAAAGTTGAGAAAATTTCCGAAAGAATGAAGAAAATCAGGGAAGTTGGTATAAAGGCTGAAGATGTAGTTAAGAATGATGCTTTCCCAAATGGGTCACAAAAAAGCAAAAAAAGCAACAGTCTTGATAAGAAAAGCAAGAAGCTTGATAAGGATCAGAAATTGATCAAGACCGAGCAACGGCTCGATATAAGTGAAGGAGAGACAGCAAAATCCAAGAAAAATGAGCTGGAGTTTGTTAAAATGGATAGCTCTGTGAAGAGGGAATCGGAGTTCGAGGAAGTTAAGGAAGATAGTATGATAAGCAGGGACAAAAAAAAGAAGAAAAAGAAAAATAAGGTTGTTGGTGACAATGAGGGTGAGGTGGTGGGGAAAGTGGAAGAAGATTTGAGGGTTAAGGAGGAGGAGGAAAGGAAGAAGAGGAATCACAGTGAGAGTGAAGATGCTGGTTCAGCAGAGCAGAGTAATAAGAAAAAGAGTAAAAAGAGGAGCACTGAAGGTGAAAAGTGAATGAGTTAGCTGAATTGTATGAAAATTGTGTTGCTGCTGTTGTTGCTACTATTGGTGAGGATCATAGTAATGCTTTTTTTATGTAGGAAAATTGTCCCTTGTGGATATCATTGCTAAAGCTGTATTGATATAACAGTTTGAGTTATATTTAATGAGATATGATTCAATTTCAAATGATTATGGATCTAACAAAGTTTATTTGACATATCAGAATTTATGTGCCAATTTTCATATCCTGAAAAAAAAAATTGTTCACTTGGTACTTTATAGTTGTACATAAGCAAAATCATTCTCAAAAAAAAAAAAAAATAGAAAAAATCAGACAATGCTGGTTCAAAAGAGCAGAGTAATGAGAACAAGAGTAAAAAGAGGAGAATTAAAGGTGAAAAGTAATTGAATTAGTTCAGCTGTATGAAGATTATTTCTTGTGTTGCTACTAATTGTGAGGATCAGACTACTGTTTTTTTTTTAAATGTAATACCTGCGAAAAATTGTCCCTTGTGGATATTATTGCTAAAGCTGTATTGATATAACTGTTCGAGTAATTCTTTATGAGTTATGATTCAAAGTGTTTGATTGACTGGTTAGCTTTCTGATTTTTTTGGATAGTGAGAGTATGTTTGTACGAAACAACTGTGTTTGTGTTACTTGATAAAAAGCACCACAAGCACTTATCGAAGGGAAGTGGGCTGTTATTTCCAGATTTCCTTACATTTTACATCCCATTTTGATTCTCATATTTCTATGTACTTATCCTATAACTGCTCTTTCATGGAATGCACTAAACAAACAATATTCAATACTTTCATGTGAAGAGTAAGCTTTAGCACATTTGGGAATTGTAAATCTGAAATAGTTTGCTTCAGGATTGTGATGTTAAGACCACAATAAAAGGACTACCTCAAACACGTTTTATTTTCTATAGAAGCCTTCAAAATAAACAATAACATTCTTTGCATTCCAATTTTTCTATTTTTGTCATGGCTTACAAAAGATTATATTGAATAATTGCAAGATATTCAAATTGCACTTGCTAAGAGGTCCTGTGACAGCTTTTCGTATCGGAAACAGTCCTTCATAGAGTCATCTGCCGACCAAATAAAGATACCATGAAGTTTTCCCTGACTCCTCAGTATGCTGCATGCATCATAGAATCCATGTTTAGGAGACAAGCCACCACTGTTGTCAGTTCCAAAGCTCACTAGAATCTTGCCTCCTTCATAGTTATACCTCTGGGTTTCAAAGTATTGCAGGAATTGAGGAATGGTTGTGCCCTTTGCATAGGCATAAAATTGGAAGTTGACATAGTCAATTAGATGACCATACTTTCTCCAGAGAGCTAAATAGTGCTCTTGAACTGAATCATCTGCATATGGGGCTATTGACGTGTAAGAGACAACATTATTTTGTTTAAGATAGTACAACAGTCGCCCGATGCACTCAGAGAATGTATCTGGATCTGCATTGAAGTGTTCATATCTATATCTATTGCATCCAGGTTATATTGTTTCACTATCTTAGTGATTGAATATATTGCATTTCTCACCCAAGAAGTAATTGAAGTGGGAGCAAAGGTTGCATTTTTACCATTCACTGTATCACCACCGAGACTCAATCCTACCTTAACATTTTTGTACTGGGCCTTGATGGAAGAAACCTGAGAAGGGGTTAGATTATCAGTGTCCCAATAGACCAGAAAGTCACCATTAGTGGGTTCTGGTGATGTTGTGTTTGTGTAGTCTATAGCAAAGGAGAGGAGGAAGTGAAACTCAATATCTGGATTAATTGGGACATCAGAGAATGTGACATTCTTGCCCTCAGCTCCAATGTATTCTCTGAAAACCCCAGGGCAGTCTGCTGGATCTGCCTTGGTTGTAGGGGAAATGTTGAAGAGAGCTTGAAGGACAAGAATAGAGATGCAGAATTTGAAGGGCTTCATGCTTTCTTAGAGTTTGAAGGATTCCTTGTACTTCTTGTTGCTATTTAATCAAAGTAAATGCCGATTAAAATATTTCTCCCTCTACAAGGTATTTGTTGTATGCCTCTCCAACTGTCATATAAGATTTAGTTTCTATTTGTATTTTTGTGAGTAATATCTCTTTTGCAGACCTGGTTTTGTAAGCATCTATACACTTATAGATTATGTTTCAGCTGGAAGCCAAGCATTATCTTTCTTGGCATTTCTACAGACGGCTTAATTAAATATTCTAGGTAATTGAAACTCTCTCTCATTAGCTCAAGGTTGACAAGGCATGAATCTCATGTTCGTTTTTCTATCAGCAAGGCCATTCTGCTGTACTGATTGTGCTAGGTATGGAGAGATGTCTTAAAAATGTTAAAATTTATAATCCTAATCAGCTTTTTTAGAATATAAGCTGAGTCATATATGCATCCATCATTTTGGTGTAGTGTGCATTTACATATGACATCTTTCTTTCAGGCAAAAGAGAATCTGTTAATTTTGATGTATTTAATTTTGTCTCAAGCAGGCCTTTGACGTTTCTAACAATCTAAAAAGTAGTAATAAGTTTACACTTCTAGCAGTCAAAACTACTTGTAACGATTTTGGCGCTTTCAAATTCTGTTGGACTTAATCAGCAGCATTCGCTTTCTAGAGACAAGGGCAAACTTGAGTCATGTTGCGTCTGTCTCCTTCAAATTGTGCTCCAAATTTTTCAGAAAAAGAACTTCATTTGTAGCTGTTTCATAGCCGTATATTTCTATGTTAATAAAAATGCAAAATGATAGGATTACCATGGCATTTGCCCAGGAACCTGGGTTTTCAGAAAGGTGAAATGCATATAAAATGTAACTTACCTACTTTGCTAGGGGATACCTCAAAACCATCGTTGCTCTCTCATAAGAATCAGCAGAGATGATATTGAGTATTGGTTCGTTGACTCAAGTTGATTGTACCATTCCTCAATCTGATCGAATTTAGACAGTTGACATGACAACTTATGGGGTATTGAGTTGTCTTTTTCCTGTTTCTTGTTTTTAAAGAGTAGGCTAGAAGAAATTATTGCACAGGATGGTTCAAAGGCTCATGCATGGACTCTAAGTGGTGGTTTTTCACTTGTATAACACAGTAGCACAATTTCTTCCTAATTCTCACATGATATATCTTTTAAAGTTAAACCCAGTCGGTCCATTTGCCTAGGTTAGCAAAACAACATTCATATTCAGTTTCTTCATAACTGGAAAATGTTTCCTCTAATCTGCTTTATTTGGTGAGAGCAACATTTTAGCTAATATATGCACGGAGTTTTTGCTTGTCTGAGTTTCTGGGTTAACATAGTTTGACTGCCTTCTTTGAGTTTGAGCTAAAGGAAGAGTTTACTTTGGATGAATATTGGCTCCAAATGCATTGACAGTTATGAGGTAGATGAAGAGAAGTGCAAAGGGCTTGGGCAACATATAGGACATATGCTGGTAGAACTGGAAGCTAGTCAATAAAGTTGTATGCTTTACTTACTTTACTCAAGATACTGAAGGGATTGCTTGCTTTTGAAAATGGAAATTTCTCAATTGCATATTTTCTAGGTGTCTAATTTAAGGCACAAATTAGGGAAACCAGGTACCTATTAGTCTTTACCTTTATATCCACGCATGCTACTGCATTTGAAATATATTTGTACACAAGTAGAGGCATTACAATTACAATGGGTCATAAATGAATAGACCTGAATAATGCTGATGGTCAGTCTAATTGACAGCTTATGCAATTTGGTGAAATGCTTGATCTTAATCCTTTTACAAACTATAGTAAAAAAAATGTTTTCCTGCAAAGAGTAAGTTTTATCACTTTTGGGAACTGTAAATTTGAACTTGTTTGCATCAAGATCTTGATTGTAAGACCACAGTAAGAGTGCTACCTCAAACATGTTTTATTTCCCAGAGAATCCTCCAAGATAAAACACAACATTCTTCTGCTTTAATTTTATCTTTTGTCATGGCCTACAAAAGATTATCTTAAATGGTTGCAAGATATTCAAATTGAACTTGCTAAGAGATCCTGTGACAGCTTTTCATATGTAAAATGATCCTTTTTAGAGTCATCTGCCGACCAAATAAAGATACCATGAAGTTTTCCTTGACTCCTTAGTATGGTGCATGCATCAAAGAATCCATGTTTAGGAGACAAGCCACCAATATTATTAGTTCCAAAACTCACAAGAATCTTGCCTCCTTTATAGTTACTGCTCTGGGTTTCAAAGTACTGCAGGAATTGAGTAATGGTTGTGCCCTTTTTATAGGCATAAAATTGGAAGTTGACATAGTCTATTAGATGTCGGTACTTTCTCCAGAGTGCTAAATAGTGCTCTTGCACTGTATCATCTGCATATGGTGCTATTGATGTGTAAGAGACAACATTATTTTGTTTAAGATAGTACAATAGTCGCCCGATGCACTCGGCGAATGTATCTGGATCTGCATTGAAATGCTCATAATCTATATCTATTGCATCCAGGTTATACTCTTTCACTATCTTGCTGACTGAATATATTGCATTTCTCACCCAAGAAGTAATTGAAGTAGGAGCAAAGGTGGCATTTTTACCATGCACTGTATCACCACCGAGACTCAATCCTACCTTAACGTTTTTATACTGGGCCTTGATGGAAGAAATCCGAGAAGGTGTTAGGTTATCAGTGTCCCAATAGACCAGGAAGTCACCGTTAGTGGGTTCTGATGATTGTGTGTTTGTGTAGTCTATAGCAAAGGAGAGGAGGAAGTGAAATTCAACATTTGGATTAATTGGGACATCAGAGAATGTGACATTCTTGTATAGAGCTCCAATGTATTCTCTGAAAACTCCAGGGCAGCTTGCTGGAACTGCTTCAGTTGTAGCGGAAATAGTCAAGAGAGATTGAAGGACAAGAATAGAGATGCAGAATTTGAAGGGCTTCATACTTTCTTGGAGTTTGAACTTTGAAGGATTCCTTGTACTTCTTATTGATATTTAACCAAAGTAAATGCCGATTAAAATACTTGTCCTT